AATAATATGTTCTGTTGTCATTACTTGCAAACACACCTGTCTCTGACTTCCCTTCTGCTGCTGTTTCTGTCTCCCCCTCGTACCCTGCGGGCTGACTCTCCTCACATCCCCTATCCATGTTCCCACTTATCTCCCACGGGGACACGAAGGGGTCGAAGAAAGACAGTACCGCAGAGAACTTCCACTTCTTCCCAGACCCTGCTGCTGACCCACTTCTCTTCTCCGTCTCCTTTCTCCTCTCCTTCAAATAAGTGTCCCTCAGACTCTTCCACTTCTTTCTGCACACTTCCTCTGAATAAACAACAAACCATAAGTGGGAAAGTAGTTGTCACATAATTATGGTTTTAATAAGCTGAAGTAGCTGGCTTCAGCTTGCAGTCTCAATACGTAAACACAGACATATATGAGTATTGAGTACTGTTTTATTTACTTACCCGATTGTCCGACCTCCTCACTCACTTTCTTTCAAGCAAGATCCTTTTTACTCCTGTTTCTGTAGTGAAATGAGCTGCTGTCATACAGCTTGGGATGGCCGCACACCACAACGATAACCCGCTCCTCCATTTTAAATTCTGCCTCCTCTCGTCACGTCAAAAGGACGCAACTAGAGCAAGCTCCTGAGTGGTTAACGCGACGCGAATGTCCGCCAAAGTTAAGATTAAAAGTTAAAGATTAAGTCAAACGCGCAAAACGCTCAATTCGTACAGCGCCTATCGCACCATTCGCAGGACGTCTATTCGCGCGTTTGCATTGTCTTAACATGTAAATCACTCGCGCTTGACGCGCGCGCCGCGTCCAGTGTGAACGCAGCATTAGAGAGGACAAGTCTGTTTATATTTCACTAGTCTAAATAATCTATTTAATTAATTTAATAAATTAACTATATCAGTTATCTATTTAACTTTAGTTTACTTAGTTAAGATGCCTGTACTAAAGATAATTGTTTTTTCTGATTAGTCTATATTGGAGGTATGTATTTAATTGTTGTTTACTCGGGTATTCTGACTGTACTAAAATGTGAAAACTGAAAATTCTGTGACCATTAACTCACCTTTACTTGTTCCAAACAAGATTTTATTTTATTTTTTTCTGATGTTGAACAATAATATCCAATAACTTATAATCTCTTTGGTTGTTGAAAACAGTAAATGCTGAATTAAGATTGTTCTTTTGTTTATTGTTTTATTATTTATATTGTCAGACAGCTAAAAAAAATTCACTATATGTGTTAAATTAGCTGCGCAAAGCGATTGGCATACAAAAAATCTTGTAAAATTGATAAATATAAAGATTTTACGTTTATCGTGATAAATATCGATATCAACTGATATGTAAAAAATTATTGTGATATTTTTTTTGCCATATCGCCCAGCTCTACTATACAGTAGCGAGAACAACATCAACTGCATTACAAGTTCAAAACAAAAACAACACCTGGTACCGTTTAAACCATTGTACCAGAGTTCCTAAGCTAAGAAACAGTCAAAAAAAATGTAGCAATCTAGCACAGGAAGTACATAAGCAGCATAAAACAAGTAATGACTCTCTTGAATTTCATCATGGACAACATGAACTGGTTGGAGGAGAAACAGCGGACCTGTCGATTTATGTAAAACCGCCGGCCTCTGGGGAACAACAGGAGGACCCTACTATGGAAGGAAATCATGCTACTGTCAATGATAATACAGAATGCATATGTGAACATGAGTAAAGAGATAATCTTTCCCCAGATGAAGGACAATCGGATAATGGAATGGAATGAGACCTATCAACAATAGACTTCTCAGCCTTACTGGAAAGGGAAAAGCTGACCGATAAGCTGAAGGGGACCACTGCTGCATCAACATTACAAATATTAACCTCCAAAGGTGGATAGTAGTCAAGGAAAATGCTGGAAAAGACAAACACTTGAGTAATTGGTTTGCCTCCATATTTAGATCTTGGGGACAATGGTTGATAAAGTTGTAGAGTACTTGGAGGTTACCATACTTGTTTTTGCTTAACTTTGTTGCTGTGTTGTGTCATTCATCAGATCAATGCTAGACAGTGCTGCTGCCACACACATGGTTACTGTGCAAGTACAAGGAACCGTGCAAGCCCACCTCAACAGTGACTATGGCTATGAAAATATGCTTCCAAAATCCTTAGATTGGTCCGTTTATGAGAACGTTACCCCAAACTTGGTGTGCCGTAGTTCTTGTTTTTATGTTATTCCTGTTTTGTGGAAAAGTAAGGGAGATAGTGTATAACATGTATTTTATTTTCTTTGATTTCAAGCGTAGACAGACCATTAGAATAATGAATAGTGTTGGCAGGTAGTTAGAGGATATTTTGTTTTTTTATTTTGGCACTTAGACTCTTATATATGCCAAAAATTATTCCTATACAATGCAAGTACTCTTATGTTGTTTTCTATTTTCTTTTTCTATTTTTCCTCTCTTGTTCTTTGTTATCAGAATGACACGAATGAAAAAAGGGTTTCAAGCAGGTCATTATCTGTGCTACGAGACAGAAGTGCAAACAGAAGGACCTGAAATTAAGGATTTTAATCCTATAATCTACAATATTATCTTTTAATACTATATTGGTTATGTTTCTGGGTATGAAATGGACATTTATCGAAGCTGCAGGGTTCACATACTCACAGGGAAAGAGGACTTGAACTGAGTGCTTAATGGAACCAACGATCATCTCAAAGCTGGCGAATGCTGTAAGAGTAGGCTCTACTGGTGGTTTAAAAGCCTGCTGCTCGCTCCAACACCAGACAGTACTTAGTAGTACCTCTGGCAACGTGGGAGCAATCATCTTAAGACCAGGAGACAGTATCTTTTAATCCTTTCTAGTCAAATAAAGGGGGAGATATTTGGTTCTGCCTCTCCACTGGAGTGCAGCATAGGGATGTTGACATTTGGTAAAGACTGTGAAAGGCAACTTTGTGTTGCATTAGTGAGGTTGATTGTACTGATATGTTGGTACCTTATGCTGCATTCCGGTTGAGGGTTAGGAAAGAGACTTTCTTCTGATATAGTCCCTCTAAAGGCTGATTTATACTTCTGCGTCAAGCCCATGCTTATGCTACGGCGCTAAAGCATAGCCCTACGCCGTGGCAATCGCTGACGTGCACCTCTCAAAAAATGTAACTACACATCACAACGACGCGTAGCGCAAGCTCTGTGATTGGTCAGCTTAGTAGCGCTGACGAGTCTGGGCGGGACTGAGCCGCGTAAGCCCAATAGAGCAATTGTTTACAAGTGTGGAGTCCCGTGAGAGAGCTCCAGATAAAAAGTTTTGTTTTGTGTTTACCTTATAGTAAAGTTGTTGCACGTCCGCCGGTTTCTGCTTCAAAAAGAGCAAGTTTGAGTCACTTGTACATTCAGGAAGTGTTCAGGAAAAACAAAGCACCAGCGAAGAAACTCGACACAGAGGAACATTTACACCTCACTGCCAACTAGCGTTTCGGAAGTGTTAATGCAGACCAACAGAGACTGCGCAGAAGTATAAATGCACAGCTACGCGTTGAGTATTTAGCAGACCAGAATATTTTTTCCACAACAATTTACAGTCACTTGTCCAAAAGTCTTTGAATAAATCATAAGGTATGAACTCCTATTTTATAAATATACAAGGGCAATTATTGTCTATTTGCTCTGTGCGCTGCTCCAGATAGCCAAACAAGCTACATCATCCTTTACCTTAGGTTCTTCGCAACAAAATTAGTCCATTTTCAGCTTTTTCTGTCCTTGTGTGAATGAGTAATCCCCTGCTATGTCTTGTAAGTGCCAAATGCAATAAATTTGGGTCATGAAATTCCAAAATTCAAAAAAATACGATAACGTATTTACAAAATGACCCTTTTTTTTACTAGTCATTTTTCAAAATCTTTTATTAGACTTTGCACATTACTTTTCTAAAATATTTATTTATATATAATTGCAGTTTATATATATTTGTACATTATTTATTTCATATTTAATGTGTGAAGGCCGTTTAGACATTGAAAAATAAAATGGAAAAAAGTACTACTGTGCCATTTGCTTTTTTTGATAGTGTTATGATTTTGATGTGGTTATGAAGAAGTAAAATTTTGATTTTTGTGATAATAACCCTTGTAATATCTTGTTTTTCATTTTTGACAGGTAGGAAACTTGTGTTGTTTTTTCCCACCCTTCGGTTGAACTAAAATGATTCTTGCATACTACATGATTAAGACAAAATAATTTTTTCTTGTGCGTCCTGACATATGCTGGTAACAAACAAAAACTGTCCTCAGTTTGATAGAGCACACAGGGCCTGAGTTATGCACTAAGACTTGCTTTAAAACAAAAAAAAACAAAGCTGTTTGTGTTGAGGTGGTTCATCATAGGACAGACAACATATATAATAATAGTTAGCATTTAACTGCAGTGTTTTTTTGTAATTTCAAAGGGTTTTCTTTAAAATGACATTAAGTTATAGCATTTATTGTACTTTATGTGGGTGTGGTGAGACTTTAAATTTAGGTAGGGGGAAATACTTTTTTTTTTTTTTTGGCATGTTACCTTCTTCCAGTTGGAATAGAATAACTCTTGCATGCATTATTATAGAGAGAAATGTATTTTTCTTGTGTTTACTGACACCTGCTGGAAAGAAATGGAATTTTTGATGGAGCACTCAAGGCCTGAGTTACACATTTTTTAACTTCAGTTTATATAAAACAGTATTTTATGAAATTTTAAAGGATTTCATTTAAAATGATACCAAACTTTTGTATTTATTCCTATGAATGTGGTTATGGAAAGCTTTTTAAATCGGAAGGCCAAATTCAGGCGGAAATACCCAAAACAGCCCAAAAACTTAACAGGTTCATTTCTGATGAGCTGCTGAAACTCATCCCAAATCGAAGCTGCAGTAACACTAGAGTTTGAGCATGCGACATTTTGTTTTATGGCACTGCGAAAAGGGGCGGGATTAAACAAGATGATTAGACATTAAAAAAAGTGAGCGATTGTCGTGAGAGGTCATGTTTTTATCTTCGATTGGTCTCACACAGTCAAGTAATGCGATTTCGCAGGCCAGAGTTTACCAAGCTTGAACTCTGTAACGCAGTGAACTGCAAAACTTGACCCACAAACTTTCGTTTACAGTCTGACGCATTTGCGTGCATATGAATGGAAGTCTATGGGGAGAAAGGTCCAGTGTAACTGTGGCTTAGATGCATGTGAATGGTTTCTCTCCAGTGTGGATCCTCATGTGTCGGTTAAGTTGTGATGATTGTATGAAACTCTTCCCACACTGAGTGCATGTAAATGGTTTCTCTCCAGTGTGGGTCCTCATGTGTCGGTTAAGTTGTGATGATTGTATGAAACTCTTCCCACACTGAGTGCATGTAAATGGTTTCTCTCCAGTGTGGGTCCTCATGTGGTGATTAAGGGATGATGATTGGCTGAAACTCTTCCCACACTGAGTGCATGTGAATGGTTTCTCTCCAGTGTGGATCCTCATGTGTTCTTTAAGAGATGATGAGCGTCTCAAACTCTTCCCACACTGAGTGCATGAGAATGGTTTCTCTCCAGTGTGGATCCTCATGTGGTGATTAAGGTGAGATGAGCAACTGAAACTCTTCCTACACTGAGTGCATGTGAATGGTTTCTCTCCAGAGTGGATAGTCATGTGTTCATTAAGGGATGATGATTTGCTGAAACTCTTCCCACAGTGAGTGCATGTGTATGGTTTCTCTCCAGTGTGGATCATCATGTGTAGATTAAAGTTTGATGATTGGCTGAAACTCTTCCCACACTGAGTGCATGTGAATGGTTTCTCTCCAGTGTGGATCATGATGTGTCGGTTAAGTTGTGATGATTGTATGAAACTCTTCCCACACTGAGTGCATGTGAATGGTTTCTCTCCAGTGTGGATCCTCATGTGGTGATTAAGGGATGATGATTGGCTGAAACTCTTCCCACACTGAGTGCATGTGAATGGTTTCTCTCCAGTGTGGATCATCATGTGTTGTTTAAGAAATAATGAGTGTCTGAAACTCTTCCCACACTGAGTGCATGAGAATGGTTTCTCTCCAGTGTGGATCATCATGTGTTTATTAAGGTGAGATGAGCAACTGAAACTCTTCACACACTGGGAGCATGTGAATGGTTTCTCTCCAGCGTGGATCATCATGTGGTAATTAAGGGATGATGATTGCCTAAAACTTTTCCCACACTGAGTGCAAGTGAATGGTTTCTCTCCAGTGTGGATCATCATGTGTTTATTAAGGTATGATGATTGGCTGAAACTCCTCCCACACTGAGTGCATGTGAATGGTTTCTCTCCAGTGTGGATCCTCATGTGTTTATTAATGGATGATGATTTGCTGAAACTCTTCCCACACTGAGTGCATGTGAACGGTTTCTCTCCAGTGTGGATCCTCATGTGAATCTTAAGATTGCCTTTTCTTCCAAAATTCCTTCCACACTGAGTGCAGGTGAAACGATTCTTGTCTCTCCTTTTCAAAATACCATCAGTCTGTAAATGAGTTTTTTCCTCAATTTTGACATGATGTTCCTCATCTTTCCTCCCCTTATTCTCTTCAATTAGGTCTGAAATAAATAAAACATTAGTTTTCATTAAGTCTTAAAACTCTCATCAAAAGCGTAAAGATGAAAAGACACTGGAAACATTGGCTACACCACTGTAATTTTGATGCACATTAAATGTAAAATAAATCAGGTCATATTTTGTTCAGTCTATTAACGTGTGCACATTTAAGCAGATTCAATTCATCTTCATCTAGTGCTTTTACAATGTAAATTGTGCTGAAGCCACTTAACTTAGAAGTTCTAGTAAATTGAAACTGTGTCAGTCCAGTTTTCAGAGTTTCTCATAAAAGTCATTTTGGTCATATTGATAAGACACAGATTTGAAAGCTGTAAAAAGCCTATTTTTATTCGTATATATTCAGAATTACAACAAAACGTTTTTCTAAAATTTGTAAAGCAGACAGGGAATACTTGTTCATTCTGTGCCTGACTGGTAAACGCATCGGAAAAAAAAAGTTCTGAGGTAACAGTTGAACAAACAGCTGAATATTTGTCTCGCAAACATGAGACATACCTGTACAGCATCTGCATAAAGGCTGAAATATGCACCTTTCCCCTTGTGTGCTGTTGGGTCATTTTCATCCATTCTGGGTTGATTTTGTGGATCAATTTGGTCAAAACTTTTTGTGTTTTAGCAAACGGATTGATATTTGGAAACATTTTATTTTTACATAATCTAGCATCTATGCATCTAGCATATTATTTTATAGCTATATTCTACTGGAACATGCTACGTCAGTTAGCATTAAATTATAAATCGACTTTCTTATAAATATACCTAAGATGGCTGGAAGTACACATATAAACCATTTATGGGCGCAGGCATGTAAATGATCAGTTGAAGCCTTTTAATATTTATTCAGATCTTATTTTCATTCAACAGCAATAGCTGGATGCCTTCATCCATATTAGGGATTTCCTGGAATGTTCTGCTACTTTTGTGAGACATATATGGAATTTCTGCTCAAGTGTAAATGAAACAGGCATTACATGCATTTAAAGTGCTACAATGCCCACATCAACCTATTTTGAGGAAAACTAAAAAAAAAAAAAAACGTAAGAAAAAATTTTCTACTTAAGAAAAAAATTTTGTACCATTTTTGATACAATTGTTACTATATCAAAAATAGTTGCCTATTGAACATCAATATATAGCAAAGTAATGAAGTCAGAAATTCCAGTATCTGGACAACATTACACCTTAGTTAAAAGACAATTACATTTTCAAAAAACAAACAGAAACTGCAAATCAGGAGGAGATAGGAGGCTCAAGAGGTATGATATGGCTCATAACAGACTAGTAAATGAGAAGTGGGTTAATTTATCAATGTTTTTTTTTCCTTTTTGATGTTACGAGTTATGCTGGATCTAATCTCACTATATTTGCTAAAAGTGATATTTAATTCATCTTGTTCTCTATATCTAACATAGGGCTGGACAATAATATAATATCAATGTATCACGATAGATTTTTTTTCAATAACGGTGATATGATTTTTAAACCCATTTCCGATATTTCGATACATTTGTGTATATGTTTTACATATGTTTTATCATATCTATCTATCTATGTATCTATCTATCGATCTATATATATATATATATATATATATATATATATATATATATATATATATATATATATATATATATATATAAAAGATTTTCTATCTTGTATCATTTGTCACTAAATGACTTTACGTGCTCAGAATCAGCGTTATGTCACTTGCATGATGGCAGCGCTCAGAAGTTGGTTAAGCTGCTCTGTCACAGAAAGCTACAAAATGAGCGACCTGAATACAGATATAGAGGAACAAGCTTCCACAAGTAAGAATGCAGACAAAGTAGTTGATGTGGATGTTGTTTGGCTTTTTAAGTTCCGATCAGCTTTTTGTTTCGGCGCTCTGCAAACTGTGCGGGAGAGCGATGCCGACTAGCATCGTAAACACATCAAATAGGTTCATAAAAGTTTAAGTCAACCTGTCGCCTCACCATCCACCTTCCCAACACCAAACACAGAAGGCTATGAGGCGCAGTGTAGGGTTTCGCATATCTACACATGAATATACATATATAAACATATACTATGTTCAAACAAGTATAACACTTGCACATATATAAACCTAGTGCATGCATACACCCACATACACATGCACAGACATATAAACTCGATCCGAACATAAACTTGATCCTTGGATAAACACCCAAATTAACACACACACACACGAAACTCTCTGCATGCTGGTATAGCACTCAAGGAAACTTACAAAATAAATTTCACAAAGATATGTTTCAGGAATCTGGTTATTTCAAAGCTGATGAAATAGAAAGAATTTGATTAATAGAGGTATTAAATCTGTTAAATAATGAAAATGTGTTATACAAAATATTAGTTTATATAAATAGACTATATAAAAAAATAGAAGAACTATTTTATGTTAAATCTTTTAACTTACTTAGGTAATTACATACACAAAAATAGTCAGAAAGAACCCTTAAAAGATGTTTAAGATAAAAAGCAACCAGAACTTAATATACTCAAACAACTCTTTTCTTTTGGAAATATTAATGTAGCCTATAATCTTTTTGATTTGTTTTTTAATTATAATTATTATTCTTTTTCAATTTTTTTTACGATGTGGATTTTGGTATTATTTTGATTGTTAAATATATATATATATATATATATATATATATATATATATATATATATATATATATATATATATATATATATACACACACACACACACATAAAAAAACTCTGATAAAAGTTTCTGTCCATCATGCTGGTTAAGCTAACCCCCATGAACTAAGTCTATATATATAAAGTCTGTTTGTAAAGGAAAAATAGAAAGATAATTTTATTTAAAGAAAAGTTACAAGAGCCTGGAGGTATTATAGACTTTGCTAATTCAGTTTGCAGACATTTGTAGGTACATGCATCTATTGTGTGCGTTTTTGGCAGTTTTTTCTTGTCTTTTGAATATTGTCCATATCGATATCGGAATTATATCATATCGACCGAAATTAAGAAGTATATTGTGATATAAATTTTTGCCATATCATCCAGTCCTAATCTAACAACATATTCCCTGACTTTGGTCTTTTGAATCTATTACTTGTTCTCAGGTAACGTGTTTTGGCTGAGCGCAAAGATAAGTTAATAATGAATGTAACCACATTCTGTATATTGACTGATCGCTTGCCTTTATTTCCTGCTATGTATAAACTTATTGTACATTATACTTTTATAATGGCCATTATAGGCTCTGTTTTGTTATGAATATGCATACAGTGAAGATGAAGCTCTTATATGAATCTACATGATGCCTAAACATTTCTGCTGTCTTTTAATTTGTTAATATCAAAACAAAAATAGCAGTTCCTTCTATCATGTTTTAATTGTATTGTTAAGATAGTGAAACAATGTATTGGATGTTGTGAATAAGGATTTAAAAGTACACCGTTCCCTTTGAAGATTTAAGACAAGTCCTCAAGAGTCTGTTTTCCATATCAAACTTGCGAAGTCTGAACTTAAAAGGAGAGGATGCAGGTGTGAACTGTGTGTAGGCTACTGATAAATCTAAATATTATATAGAATATAAATAATTAAAAATATATATATATAAAAAAAATAAAATATATATATATATATATATATATATATATATATATATATATATATATATTATAAATCTACTGATAAAAGTACTTGTAAATACACTTTACATATAACTAAAGGCAGGGGTGTCAAAAACCGGTGTCCAAGGGGCTATTCCATAAACCAAGCGTACAGAAAAAGCCAGGCTTATTTTATTAAGTCAAGTTCGTTAATGGCAGATTTGGTTTCATAAATCAAATTTAAATTGTTCAAACTTAGTTACCCCTGGCACAAATCTATTATTGTAAAGCATCCTGTAGAAAAGAGGGGTGTTCTTAGCTCTCTCTCTCTCTCTCTCTCTCTCTCTCTCTCGAAGAGCTAGCGCATGCCGCATGTCTTTGGATTTGGGGGAAACCAGAGAAGCTGGAGGGAACCCACACGAGCATGGGGGTAAGAAAGACACTGACTAATTTAAAGAAGAAGACTACATTTCTTAAATAATGACTTTAAAGCTATAAAATGAGTTGAATAATCGGGAGATAATCCGTGCTGTGCAGCAGCCTCACTTTAATGTAAAGATATTTTCCCACGGGCCGCGGGAAAAAAGTGGCAAAGGGAAAGCAACGATTTGCCGCACGGCTCTTTGTTGATTTTAAACCTATATGCTTACATTTAGAACATTTTGTACATTACAGTGAGCCTGCAATGCATTAAAACTTTTCCTTGCAAGCAAGAATTGGAAATAAGTGCAAATTCTCTCTCTCACGCACATGCGCGCGGTCAAGCACAATTACTATGTATTATAACAAATATTTAATTTCATGTTAATAGGTGTAAAAAATAGCATATATTTAAAAATATATTGCAACTAATGTAGTCTATTGAACAATCTGCAGTTTCGCGGCTCACTCGCTGTGAACAGCTGTGTCTCATTTTAGAGCACTTTCAGTTCTCTAAGTTGCCATGGTAGCACACAACATAATCGATGTATCTATGCTCGACTTAAGGTTTCACGACAGAAACGTGTGGGAGCAGTTATCTAGATTATTTAAACTGAACTCAGACTAGTCAGATCAAATGATCTTCAACTTGCTGTTATGGAACCAATTTAAGCGTGGACGTTTAGTTCAGCTCATTCAAGTCAGGCTTTTGACTTTAATCACCGCTTTTTTTTTGGCCAGATTGGGTAGAAAAACATGAACAAAGGAAAATAAAGACTTGTTTAAAAAAGACAC